AAATCGCGATTTTCGCCGCTACCGGCCAAAAATAGCGCGATTTTTGCCGCTAGCGGCCAAAAAACGGGCGATTTTTGCCGCTAGCGGCCATAAATCGGGCGATTTTTGCCGCTAACGGCCGAAAACCGCGCTATTTTGCGCAAAAACCATGCGATTTTCGCAGCTGGCAGGAAAAATCGCGATTTTCGCCGCTACTGGCCAAAAATAGTGCTTTTTTTTTGCCGCTACCGGCCAAAAACCGTGCGATTTTCGCCGCTACCGGCCAAGAACCATGCGATTTTCGCAACTGGCGGGCAAAAATCGCGATTTTCGCCGCTAACGGCCAAAAATAGCGCAATTTTTGCAGCTAGCGGCCAAAAACCACGCGATTTTCGCCGCTACCGGCCAAAAACCATGCGATCTTCGCAGCTGGCGGGCAAAAATCGCGATTTTCGCCGCTACCGGCCAAAAATCGCGCGATTTTCGCCGCTAGCGGCCAAGAATCAGACGATTTTTGTCGCTAACGGCCGAAAACCGCTCTATTTTGCGCAAAAACCATGCGATTTTCGCAGCTGGCGGGCAAAAATCGCGATTTTCGCCGCTACCGGCCAAAAATCGCGCGATTTTCGCCGCTAGCGGCCAAAAACCGTGCGATTTTCGCCGTTATGGCCAAAAATCGGGCGATTTTTGCCGCTAACGGCCGAAAACCGCGCTATTTTGCGCAAAAACCATGCGATTTTCGCAGATAGCGGGCAAAAATCGCGATTTTCACCGCTTCCGGCTAAAAATAGCGCGATTTTAGCCGCTACCGGCCAAAAACCGCGCGATTTTCGCCGCTACCGGCAAAAAAACCATGCGATTTTCGCAGCTGGCGGGCAAAAATCGCGATTTTCGCCGCTAGCGGCCAAAAATCAGGCGATTTTTGCCGCTAACGGCCGAAAACCGCGCTATTTTGCGCAAAAACCATGCGATTTTCGCAGCTGGAGGGCAAAAATCGCGATTTTCGCCGCTACCGACCAAAAATAGCGCGATTTTCGCCGCTACGGGCCAAAAACCGCGCGAATTTAGCCGATACCGGCCAAAAACCATGCGATTTTCGCAGCTGGCTGGCAAAAATCGCGATTTTCGCCGCTACCGGCCAAAAACTGCGGTATTTTCGACGCTACCGGCCAAAAACTGCGCTATTTTCGACGCTACCGGCCAAAAACTATGCGATATTCCCAGCTGACGGGCAAAAATCGCGATTTTCGCCGCTACCGGCCAAAAATAGCGCGATTTTCGCCGCTACCGGCCAAAAATCGGGCGATTTTTGTCGCTAACCGCCGAAAACCGCGCTATTTTGCGCAAAAACCATGCGATTTTCGCAGCTGGCGGGCAAAAATCGCGATTTTCGATGTTACCGGCCAAAAATAAGGCGATTTTCGCCGCTAGCGGCCAAAAACCGTGCGATTTTCGCCGTTATGGCCAAAAATCGGGCGATTTTTGCCGCTAACGGCCGAAAACCGCGCTATTTTGCGAAAAAACCATGCGATTTTCGCAGATAGCGGGCAAAAATCGCGATTTTCACCGCTTCCGGCTAAAAATAGCGCGATTTTAGCCGCTACCGGCCAAAAACCGCGCGATTTTCGCCGCTACCGCCCAAAAACCATGCGATTTTCGCAGCTGGCGGGCAAAAATCGCGATTTTCGCCGCTAGCGGCCAAAAATCAGGCGATTTTTGCCGCTAACGGCCGAAAACCGCGCTATTTTGGGAAAAAACCATGCGATTTTCGCAGCTGGCGGGTAAAAATCGCGATTTTCGCCGCTACCGGCCAAAAATAGCGCGATTTTCGCCGCTACCGGCCAAAAACCGCGCGAATTTAGCCGATACCGGCCAAAAACCATGCGATTTTCGCAGCTGGCTGGCAAAAATCGCGATTTTCGCCGCTACCGGCCAAAAACTGCGCTATTTTCGACGCTACCGGCCAAAAACTGCGCTATTTTCGACGCTACCGGCCAAAAACTATGCGATTTTCCCAGCTGGCGGGCAAAAATCGCGATTTTCGTCGCTACCGGCCAAAAATAGCGCGATTTTGTCCGCTAGCGGCCAAAATCCGGACGATTTTTGCCGCTAACGGCCGAAAACCGCGCTATTTTGCGCAAAAACCATGCGATTTTCGCAGCTGGCGGGCAAAAATCGCGATTTTCGCCGCTACCGGCCAAAAATCGCGCGATTTTCGCTGCTAGCGGCCAAAAATCGGGCGATTTTTGCCGCTAGCGGCCAAAAAACGGGCGATTTTTGCCGCTAACGGCCGAAAACCGCGCTATTTTGCGCAAAAACCATGCGATTTTCGCAGCTGGCGGGCAAAAGTCGCCATTTTCGCCGCTACCGGCCAAAAATAGCGCGATTTTCGCCGCTAGCGGCCCAAAACGGTGCGATTTTCGCCGCTAGCGGCCAAAAAACGGGCGATTTTTGCCGCTAACGGCCAAAAACCGCGCTATTTTGCGCAAAAACCATCCGATTTTCACAGCTTGCGGGCAAAAATCGCGATTTTCGCCGCTACCGGCCAAAAATAGCGCAATGTTTGCCGCTAGCGGCCAAAAACCGTGCGATTTTTGCCGCTAGAGGCCAAAAATCGGGCGATTTTTGCCGCTAACGGCCGAAAACCGCGCTATTTTGCGCAAAAACCATGCGATATTCGCAGCTGGCGGGCAAAAATCGCGATTTTCGTCGCTACCGGCCAAAAATAGCGCGATTTTCGCCGCTACCGGGCAAAAATAGCGCGATTTTCGCTGCTAGCAGCCAAAAACCGTGCGATTTTCGCCGCTACCGGCCAAAAATCGGGCGATTTTTGCCGCTAACGGCCGAAAACCGCGCTATTTTGCGCGAAAACTATGCGATTTTCGCACCTGGCGGGCAAAAATCGCGATTTTCGCCGCTACCGGCCAAAAACCATGTGATTTTCGCATCTGGCGGGCAAAAACTGCGCGATTTTCGCCGCTACCGGCCAAAAACCATGTGATTTTCGCAGCTGGCGGGCAAAAATCGCGATTTTCGCCGCTACCGGCCAAAAATAGCGCAATTTTCGCTGCTAGTGGCCAAAAATCTGGGGGCTTTTTGCCGCTAACTGCCGAAAACCGCGCTATTTTGCGCAAAAACCATGCGATTTTCGCAGTTGGCGGGCAAAAATCGCGATTTTCGCCACTACCGGCCAAAAATCGTGCGATTTTCGCCGCTAGCGGCCAAAAAACGGGCGATTTTTGCCGCTAACGGCCGAAAACCGCGCTATTTTGCGCAAAAACTATGCGATTTTCGCAGCTGGCGGGCAAAAATCGCTATTTTCGCCGCTACCGGCCAAAAATCGCGTGATTTTCGCCGCTACCGGCCAAAAACCATGCGATTTTCGCAGCTGGCGGGCAAAAATTGCGATTTTCGCCGCTACCGGCCAAAAATAGCGCAATGTTTGCCGCTAGCGGCCAAAAACCGTGCGATTTTCGCCGCTAACGGCCGAAAACCGCGCTATTTTGCGCAAAAAATATGCGATATTCGCAGCTGGCGGGCAAAAATCGCGATTTTCGTCGCTACCGGCCAAAAACGGTTCGATTTTCGCCGCTAGCGGCCAAAAATCGGGCGATTTTTGCCGCTAACGGCCGAAAACCGCGCTATTTTGCGCAAAAACTATGCGATTTTCGCAGCTGGCGGGCAAAAATCGCGATTTTCGCCGCTACCGGCCAAAAACCGCGTGATTTTCGCCGCTACCGGCCAAAAACCGCGATTTTCGCCGCTACCGCCCAAAAACCATGCGATTTCGCAGCTGGCGGGCAAAAATCGCGATTTTCGCCGCTACCGCCAAAAATAGCGCGATTTTCGCCGCTACCGTCCAAAAACCATGCGATTTTCGCAGCTGGCGGGCAAAAATCGCGGGCAAAAAAAAGAATAACCAAAACAAGCAAAAGGTCGGCAGGAAACAAGCGGATAGGAGAAGAGGGGGAGAAAAACGAAACAGAAGGAAAAGTTAAAAGACGTTCAGCACAATTAGAGGACAACAGCAGGAGCATAAGGCTACAAAAGGACAGGACTGTCCCAAGGAGCATCACACTGGCAGCTGCCCACCAAGCTCCCCTCACGGAAACGAGCTGAACAGGAAGGGGGGATTCCAGCAGGTAGTGTAATAGTGGCACCTCAGATATGACTAACGATTGTGTTCATTACCTCCCAGCAGCACTTGTAACCAAATTAGAGTGTGGGCAAAGATGATTATCGTTTTAGATTCTGCTCTCTGAATTATGATTAAGCCATCCAAAAGGTGGCACGGGCAAGAATAGCCCGTAAAGGGGGCCCAAATATCTTTATGCTTATAATTTAATGAGAGCCGGTGTATCAGGGGAAGGAAGAAGGCCTAAAGAAGAGGGCCTCAACTTAGGGGGAGGGTGATGCCCCTAGTCACTGCTACAAAGCAAGTTTTACTTTATCAGAGGAAGGAGGTCATGCCACACGTGCAAGACCAGTGGTTCAGAGTCTAATCCTTTCTCAAACAGCTGCTTGACACCACCTTGTTGGAAATGCGAGACGACTAGGACCGAGGAGAGTAGGAGACAGTAGGGAAGATTAACCTTCAGGCCTGTTACAACTGGAAGTTCCGCGAGGCCCGACTATTTGGAAAGGGTATGGTTGTCACCGTGAGAGGAGATGGGACCATAAAGCAAGGATAAAAGGAATGCAAGCCAAAGGGACCCCCCCCCCCTCAAAAGAGTGATGTACACTGGCAAGCGGGGAATTAACCTTGCAGGAGCTATGGAGCTAGCAAAACTTTTCTAGGCAACAGGAAACTGGGATCTTCAAGCCACAGAGCAGCCCCCCTCCCATAGGACAGACATAACGAAACAGGATTAAGACTGGGCACCCTTTGTTGCCAGGCATCACAGCATGCCGGGGAGGAAGTTTCATTTCCGTATTTATAAAGATAAATGTTAATCGCAGCTCCAAGCACATTTTAAAATGCTTGGTCACTCATTAAAAAGGAGTTAGTAAAAAGAGCCACATTTAAAAAGGGTTAATGTTTATTTATAAAAGATTGACAATGCTTATTACAATATACTTTACATTCTCAACCCCAAAAATTTTGCAAAACTGACAGGTTTTTACCGATTTGCGAGGATTTTAAAAATCTAAATTAAAAGTTTGATCCTTAAAACTAAGATTATCTTTACAAATTACTGCAAATTATAGTTACAGATATTAAAAATAAGCATGAACTTTACACTATAGTACTTAAAATTACTTCACACTAATTCTATCCCCAAAACCAAAGCCAGAAACTATTGCCAGTGTTGTGCGACACTGTAGTATTGGAACTCTCGTTGACGGAAGCTCCTGGCAAAGAGCCGTTGCCCAAAACATTGACATAACCTTGCACAGGACTTTTTGTCACGTTAAGATTCAAAGATTCTCCCTGAGGATTCAAAGTAAATACAGACTTATTGTGAGTGGCGGCACCAAGAGCGTCTTTATGTGAATATTCTGTAGACGAGGTTGGCAGTGTACCGAGCCACAGGCTAGATTGCGACCCTTCACTTTTATGACTCGAGTTAATGGCCCTTGTTGCATTACCTTTCAGTAAATACAGAGCGCGTCTCACTGCGTCAATTAGAGTAGAGTTTTCTGCATCGATCAAAGCTTTCTTGACGTGTTCATTAGTAGCGTTGACGTGACTTCTCTTCAAGCCTACTACTGGCAGTCCAACACCTTCAACCTTTGTTAAACGAGATTTGTCATCTTTTTCTTTATCCGCGTGGGACGCTCCGGGAAGGGCCTCCGAAACGTGACTCTGCACGTTAGTCAGATTTGGGTAGTTTTCATGAAATGGATGAAATTCCGTGAACTCTTCAGGGGCAGATTCTATGTTTACGCCTTTTTGACCTTCCGATACTTTTTCATTAGTATTGTTGTCTGCAACAATATGAAAGATCACATTAAACATTTTATATAATATCTGAAGTTAATAATTAACTTCAAGGATCTGTTAATGTTTAGTTAATTGTTAAATATCACAGTCTATGCTTTGCATTTTCGTGAAGCCTATACAAGTTTCTCAAGTACTTTGCTAATCTTTCCCATTTGTTTAAGGGGGCATATCAATGTAAAATTAAAAGTGGTTCAATTTGCTTATAAATTTTTTTATGAAATGGTTATAGAAAGGGCTGCAGCTGGTCCAAGTTTCATCATCACACCCTAAACAGAAGAGAAAAAAATAAACGAATTATGCAACGAACTTTCAAATAGTTTCAGGGAACACATGTGTCAACTAAAATCATTTCTATAACACATTAAATTAAGCACATAATAAAGGATTCTAGTGATCAGTTTTATCAAAAGTGTTTAGTGCAATAATATAATTTTTCAAAGTTACCCTTCTAAAAAAATATGCAATATATGATATTTATAAATTTTTATAAAATCAACAAATAGACTTTGGACTAAAATGTCTACTAGATTCTGTAGAAGCACAAACGCTACATATAAGGTGTAATTTGCATGTAAATTGATTGATAAATGAAAGCTCTGAAGTAATTTGAAGGTGTAAATTACTTTCCAGAGTAAAATAAAGATCCAAGTTCGGCCACCTGTAGCTGAGCTTGACTTCGACAGATTTCGTTCATAATTAGCACCCTTGCAGATAGGCTTCCATTGAGCAAGGTGTGCAAGTTTCATGCAAATCCCTTGATAACAAACGAGAAAAAAATATTGGCCAAAAAAAAAAAAAAAAAAAAAAAAAAAAATATTTAAATATAAATATATTGCACATACATATTACAATTATTACAAGAGTTTGTGCTTCTACAGCACATAGTAGACATTTTAGTTGACACATGTGTTCCGAGATTATTTGAGAATGTTGAACATTCGTTGCATAATACGTTGTGTATTTTTTTTCTCCTTTTCTGTTTAGGGTGTGATGGTGAAACTTTGACCAGTTGCAGCCCTTTCTATAACCATTTCTTAAACAAATTTAAGCAAATTGAACAACTTTTAATTTATAACGATTTAGAATGATATGCCCCCTTAACCCCCCTTTGCGATTAAATATTAAACTTTAGTACGAATCTAAATATCAATTCACATTTTACAATCTAGTTAAAGTTTAGTTCATTTGTTACGCACCCCATACCCATCCTGTGGGCGGCAGTGGAAAGTGTTAAGAGGAACATAATGTGCTCCGAACCCTACAATTCATTTAGCCAAGCAAGTTTTAATCTAGGTGTCATGGCGACTGCTGGAGGTTCACGCAGCATCTCCTACAAAACATTGACGATACCCTCGAGGATACTGGGAAACCACTGTTGCATACCACACATTTAGATCATGAACGTCACCCGGTCTTAGAAGAGGATCCAGACAGATTTCTTGGACAGTAAACATCACAGCAAGGCAAACAGATTGGAGGCGAAGCACTGCCAACATACAAAGGTAAACAGAGACCATGCCTGCACCACGCGGTCTCATCATCCACCGCTCAACCAAGGTAGGCCAAGTTCTTCCGATTTGCAAACTTTCATCGTCGCCATCAAAGGCGACGATGAATGTTTTCAGAAATAGCAGGGCACAAAGTATCTTGCATATTTCCATTCTCAAGATATTCGGGATCAACGTGCACGGTATGAGACCTAATAAACAAGACTACTGCAGTTGACCATAAAAACAGTGAAGAACTAGAGCTTTCAGACATTACCGACATCTGTGGCCACAAAGTCATGTGCTACAAACCACTAGGGGACTGATTAACAAAATATGTAATCAGACATGTAGTATACATTAGTGCAGACATCAAGGCACAACTTCAGACATGACATCCCGATCTATGGAATCTGGAAAATTCATGAGAAACCGAGAACCGAGCGATACAGGCACTGCTCTGCTTACTTTTCTAGACTACATTTCCCGAGTGGATTTGGTTAAAGGACTTCCTCCATAAACTAGAGGTTTATGTCCCATTCAGTGTTTTAAATGTAGAGGTTTTTACCATACCTCGAAAGGCTGCAGCAAAGACATTAAATGTGGAAAATGCACCGGTTCCCATTACACACAAAACTGCATCAGATACACTCGCCTGCTCAAACTGTGGTGGCGATCACGACATTCCATTCAAACTATGTCCTTCATACATAGCAACAAAATTTAAGGTTTTTTCCCTACAAACAACCTGCAATACAGTAGTGCATCTAAACAACCTAACACAGCCCATCATAAAATACCTCACTCAACCACAACCTAATGCGTGTACCCGATAAGTTTCACCGACAATCCCAAAACCCCAGGGTCCAACCATCTCCCACAAAATGCACAACAGAGACCTGATCTTGTCGACACTTTTTACTCTGAAAATTCACTAGAAAAGACGCTGGACCGACTTCTAACTAAATTCCTTACACAAGTAATAACCCACCCCTGAGGCAGACCCAACAGACATCCCATCAACAGCTATAGACACTGACATCAGCCCAAACAAGGTTACCATAGCTGGACACATTGAACAGATGGAAAAAACTTAAATAACTCTTTGACACGCCTTACTAGAATCATTTCCCAGGCCGACTTGCCACAAACTTGGTTCCGAGTCCGCCCTGAGCAGCCGTGGAACGAGGACGTGTCCCGGCCTCCGTTACTGCTGGGGTTGTTTTGCCATTTGGTCGCCAGGTGGTGTGGCCGTCTCTGCCCTCCCAGTGTTGTCAGCACGCAGCCAGGCAGGCAACGTGGCAGTTCTGACATGGGGGGGCCTTCCAATTCCTCCTGTTCTGCGTGTGAATTCCGTGGGACTGGAGTTCTCATAAGGCTGCTTATCCAGCCATTGAGTTGGTGATGTGCGACATTCTTCGTGTCCCGGTGGAGGCTGTCTATAGAGTTGAGCTTGTTACGGCCCACTTGGTGATTTTCAAGTTCGTGAGGGAGGAGTATCGGGACTTCCTCCATTGGTACAAGGGCGTTCGTTGCAGTTGCCGGATGGCGCCGGCTGTTGCGATCTCTGACTACAGTGGTGCCCTGACTTGTGTCAGTGTACACGGTGCGCCCCTGGAGTTCCCTGAAGACCTTCGGCGCTTCTTCGAGAGGTATGGTGCAGTCAGTCAGTGTTCGGGTGAACACTTTCCTCGGGGAAGTATGCTGGGAAGCAGACGAACATCTGTACCTTAGGTATGCACCTGCGGTCGGATATCCCATCTTCTGTCCGGCTGCTAGGTTACTACGTTCGGGTGTATTATGCCCGGCAGCCCCGTACCCGATGTGGCCAGTTAGGGCATCAGGCTGCCGGGTGCTCTGAGGCCCCTGCTGCACCTGTTTACTTGTTCCGGGAAGAGGATTTCCCGCCACTCCAGGGCGTGGATTCCGGAGATGAAGAGGGGCAGGTCCCGTTCGCTGTTGATGCGCCCCCCCCCCCCTGCGTCACCTGACGTGCCCCCGGTGGTTGTTGAGCCACCGGAACACCCGGAGGAGGGACTTGTCACTGGTCAATTCGCTGTGCCAGTTGCTCCCGAGGGTCTTCCAGATGGTCTCTGCAAGTAGTCTTCATCTTCCTCGTCTCTTGCTGATGCGCCTGGCCCTGCGCTCTCGCCGGGTGTTACAGCTGTGTTGGGTACTGGGGGGGGGGCTGTGGACCGTCTTGTGTGCGGCCCGGTTCCCCCTGTGGTTGAGGCTGTTGCCGTACTGCGACGGGAGTGTTCGAACGGTCTGCGAGGCCCGTGGTTCAGGGTCCGCCTCCGGCTGTGAGGAATGTGCAGCCGGTGCCCAAGCGTTCCAGGCGTTCTTCTACTGCTTGGGCTGATGTGGAGGACTTCGACGCAGGTGGAGCTTGGGGCGATGATGTGGCAGTTCCGGGTGCTTCGTGCTCTACGTCGCTGGTGGTGGCTGACGTCCATGTGCTTGCTGTTGACAATGGTTGTGCGTATGATTTACCTCTTGTTTTTTCTCCTGCAGAAGGTTCTCCGCAGTGGGAGGTGGTCGCTCCTACGGACGTGGGTGGTGTGGGTTCTGGTGCGAGCCATGGCCTCAAGCTGGTGCTTAAGAAGGATGCCAAGTGTGGGGGGGGGGGGGTCCCTGCAAGTGTGACGTCCGGTGGTTGACGCGGGGCCCTGTGAGATAGCCGATTGATTGATGAAGATTAAGCCACCCAAGAGGTGGCACGGGCATGAATAGCCCGTAAGTGGTGGCCCTTTTGAGCCATTACCAGTATAAAAAGATGACACTGGAGATCTATGGACGGATGATCACACCATCTGGTCACCATTTGGTCCGGGAGACATCTCCCGTCACGCAGGGTGCAGTCGCACCTCCACAGATCTCCAGTATCATCTATTGATACTGGTGATGGCTTAAAATGGCCACCACTTACGAGCTATTTATGCCCGTGCCATCTTTTGGGTGGCTTCATCTTCATCTCAACACATTCACAAGGGAGACATCTCCCGTCATGCAGGGTGCATTCACACCTCCACAGATCTCTAGTATCAGCTATTGATACTGGTAATGGCTTAAAAGGGCCACCACTTACGGGCTATTCATGCCCGTGCCACCTTTTGGGTGGCTTAATCTTCATCAATCGATCTATGGACAGGGACGGGAGACATCTCCCGTCCACGAGGCTAACCATAGCCCGTGCTTCTTGCCCCGCTCCTGTGCCAGGTAAGTTACGGGCTCACCATAGCCCGTGCTACTTGGAAACTTGTTCCGAGTAGCTTAATCTATAACAACGATCTATGGAGGCGCAACTGCACCCTGCGTGACGGGAGATGTCTCCCGGACCAAATGGTGACCAAATGGTGTGAGGTAGCCGAGGAGGCTCCCAGTGCGCTGCCCATTGCCCGGCCCCGTGGGAAGGAGCCCCTCCCTCTCGTCTTGGCCTTCGGCGTGGCGTATGATGCTCATTCCTTTGAGGTTTGACATTGGTGAACGCGTGCATC